GGAATAAGGTGTAAAGGTGACCTAGTGAATAAATGCTTGTGTTTTTAAATAGTTTATTTAGTGAAAAAGAAGGCTGAAAAGTTGCCCTTTTCTGAACTTTGAAGGGCCGTAACTTTTTAAATAAGGGAGAGCGCCGCTTTTTTCTTTCGGATTCGTAATCTACGCATCAAAATACGTAAGTACAGTCAAAAATTTTTTCAAAATCGCCGGGTGTCCACATAACGAAAATTTACCATTTTATTACCAAAGCACTTGGTAATAAGTGTTTTGTTACTGTTTTGTTACTGTGAACTAATTCGCATTACTTGTGAGCACTGTAGATAAATTGTGTATCGTATCGCAGACTCGAGTGCAACTTTCTAAACATCGGTTTCTTTGGCATAGTAATTGACTTTTTGAAGTTGTTGTTCGTTGACACCAATTCTAAATACAATGATAGGGAGGCTAATTAAGCAAACAATACTCTGGTAGTGTCTTGGTATATTAATGGTAACTAATATTTTATGAATGTTATTTGAGGTCGATTTTGTGCAAACTGTTGACAACAAATTAATATACGAGTAATATTGGAGTTGTATTATTGACGTTTGAATCGGAAACAGTATTATTCATCTTCTCTCAACTCAAATTTGAATGATATGGAATATTTATTGTATTTCAAAGAAAGTGGAAAAAGTATTCACTCCTTGTAATTCTTGCTGTTTGTGAAGACAGAAGCAGAATTTCTAAAAATTGAGAAAAAAGACTCATTATATCGACATAATGAGTGAACTACAAAGAAGAACAGAAAAAGATCATTTTCAAGGTAGATACATGGTTATTGTACTTGTTGTTTCATTCGTGAATACTATGAAATCCACACATTCAACAAGAAATAGTCGAAAGAAAATACAACATATTGCTCAATAAAGCAGTCTAGCGAATTGAAACTTTCTATGTTTTACCACTTTTATTTGTAACCAACGTGACTGCAGTTTCGTCCTATAAGGACATTTTCAAACTTATACATTGATGTATACGTTAATGTTTGAAAGGGACATACATTATTGTTTAAAAATGTCCTTATAGGACGAAACTGCGGTAGTTGTTGTAGTAGTTGGTCAAACCACCAACACTGACATAAAAACTTGAAACCAAGTTCATTTGCGACTACTCTGACTGCATAACATCCAGAGGACATTTTGTTACACAAGACATAAATATGTTCTTCAAATTTTAGTTAACTATCGATATGTACTCCTAAAAATTTTAGGCTACTTTTGCTCTCAATGATGTTACTCTCAATGGGTATATTGTCAAGTTCGCATCTGAAAGTAACTATATTAATTTTCGAAATATTTAGAGAAAGACGATTTGAATCACACCAATTTTTCACTATCATCATATCGCTGGATATGATTTTAGTTAAATCGTTTGCATTGTCCGATTGCCAAAAAATGGTACTATCGTCTGCAAATAGTGTGAATTTCCCTGAAATATTTATACTTGTCAAATCGTTGACGTAGATGAGGAACAATGTTGGCCCTAGTATTGAACCCTGAGGTACACCCAATTTCTGAGCGGTGGTTTGTAAAAAACGGCAGTTTTCAATAATTCCAGTATTTTGAATAAGAAATAGAAAAATCACTCGATCTACTAAGAAGTTGTGCCACCAGAATCAATAAAAAATGTTCTTCATATAATTCGAAACTTTGACGATTGAATCATTTCTGGGTTGATGGATATACCTACACTCATATTCGAAAGATAATTATACCACCCAATAAATGTGACGTTTCCTCCTTCAAAACGCCTTTAGGAAAAAACTAGCACGATTCCAAACATCGTAGTCAACAGCCCAAGACGTAAATATTCCTGTCATGAATACGTATCAACAATCATTTACATAGTTAGGCAATTGAAAGGTAAGATGTCCTTCGACTGCATCCCACACAACCCACTCAAAATATGACAAAGATATAAAAGAGAAATTTTATAAACCTTTCCAGGAATATTACTTCAGACAAAAAGCATGACGCGATCGAATGAAAATATTCTGAAACAAATATTCACATTGTGGTTAGATATGACGATTGGAAAAGTATTGAAAATGCATGTTTAAAAAATACCGTGAGCTCATCTTGAAAATTGTGTCACCAAATTCTTGAGAACTGTTACTTGTTATTTCGCTATCAAGCAACATTTTCGTGAGATATGTGCAAAATAATCAAGTCAAAATGAACGAAACAAAAGTGGCAAGTTTTAATTCGGTCCAAATGTACATAAAAATAATGATCGAATAACTAAAACTCCGATAGAGCTGAACTTTGGAAAAGTCTTTGGGTACACCAGTAAAAATGAAGTGCCAACAGTCCCCTTGAATCTTATGTGTGCTAAAAAAGTTATTCAAGGTCAAAGGTGTCAAGATTCTTGTTTTTAAGAGATTTCTGGATTTTGCTCGAAAACGGCAAGTTTCATTAAAAAATACTGCTCAGACAAAAAATTTCAGATCATAAAATTATCTACAAAAATAATTCCCATACCATTTTTCCTAAGAATGACCATTCCTAAGACATCGACGTTCTAAAAGTTCAAGGCATGCTACATTATTTGCACACAAATTCTACGTATGTACATACTTACTTAATATAAGTAAGAATTCCTATGTGTGTCTTTCATATGTATAAAATGAACTATTTTGACAATATACACTCGAAAGAACCTCAGTCTTAGACACTCGAGAATGAAATCGAAAATGTTTTCGAGTATCATTCGCTTATAATAAATCTCGTTTCATTTCCATCTTAAGTGACAAGCTGGCCACTGAAAATATTGCAGTTAAACAAGCTCAAAATGACGTTGCTGTCCTCATAATTGAAATAGCAATTGAACAATTCAATGCAACAAATACAACTATTGTGTTTGGTGATGATGTTGATTTGTTAATACTACGTACTGCACGGACCCCAATTAAAAACATTATGGACTTGTGAAAAACTCTAAAGGCCCAACAGCGAACAGAAATATATCCTTCAAAAAGTTTATTTGTTTATCCAAGATGCCAATATCATATTTTATCTTTATATGCTATAACCGGCTGCGATACTACATCAGCAATGTTGAGAAGGAGTAAAACATCAATGATTGAATTATTGGAAGGAAAGGATTCATATTCAAGAAACAGTTCATTGTGGGATTTTTACTAAACAGTTTTACAAAAATGCAACACGTGTTTCGCTATACAATAGCTTCTTCAGGCGTGTCTATACTCCCACCTGCTCATAAAAAACTCCTAGACAGTATTTTTTGCAATTGCAAGAAAGGCTGTAGTGTTGAATGTTGAATGTGGCTGTAGAAGAGCACGATTGTTGTATTCACCAGTGTGCAC